AAGCACATAAGAAGGAAGAGAAATACAGGCAAAAAAGAAAGGGGATGATGGAAAGGGACACATGAAGAGGGTGGAGAGAGTACACCAAGGATAAGATGGAGACAGAGAAGAAAAACATGGGATTGATAATGTGAAATCATGATGGGTGAGCATCATTCCTAAATTTCCCACACGGTGCTTAAAATCTGAAGGCAAGACCAGTTGAAGAATATAATAGCTCTTTTCCAACTAATAGGACCAACAGAAAATAGTATGTGCTCCCAGTTTTGGGTCCCAAGTCTTTGGTCGAAAACCGCTACTTTAAAATTGAATTATTAGAATATGTAAATGATTGGTTGGTAGTATATGTGGAGGAAGTTGAGTTATATATAGATGGCACCCAGTAAGATATAGGGACTAATTCCAAACTTAAAAAAAACTATTTAACCTATACTTCCATTTAGTGCATGGTGAACCCATTTGGTTGTTCGTGATAGTGTAAGTGTCAAGTCTTAAAGCATTGACATGCTCAATAATTACAAGTTTTATAATAGTGTCAGAATAATTTGGAGGTTCTTTGTAAATAGTTTTAGAACCCCCCTAGCTAAAATGTTCACCACTAACAGGACTATTCTCCAAATTGCTGGGGATTCAAAGTGAATTTGATATTCGAGGCAAAAAAAAAAAGCCAAACTGGAAGCATACCTGACTTAAAAAATTCTTCCCTATTTAACTATTTTGGCTTTAAATTTAAAAGTCACTTTGAATTCACAACAATTCTCACTTTAGTGATAAATCTTTTCCCACAGCATTTGTGCCCATCAACTGGTTATTTTTTGTTGCTTATTGTATAACTTTTTGCATTTCATGTGATTGTAGTTAATTGTTTCAATGATGACCCCTTTTGTTTGTAAATAAATGCTGTGTCATTTTTAATTCCAAAACAAGTATCACTCTCTTTATTTGTGTAATTGTGTGAATGATTGATGTTAGGGTGATGACGTTCAGTTTGATTCTGTTTCAGTGTTCAATAATATGGTGTTCAATAATTAACATAATACCATTGGCGATATTTTCAATACATACATTATTGAATGGAGCAGTTTTTTAGATTCCAGACTATCTAAAATGTTCTAACATTTACAATACCCTATGTGTATACTTGAGATAGTTTCCAGTTACCATGGGAGGACAAATACATTTTATCTTACCTGAATTTACATATCTGTACCAGCTAATGCTTTCCACCTTTTAGGGAAACAGTGATGTAGATATAAGGACATGGTGCTAAAACTCAGGTACCATTTCAATCTTCAATTTTGTGCGAACATGTTTACATAACTAAAAAAAGATAATAAAAAGATAATAAAATGTTAATAATTTGTGGGAGATTCCAGTCAGTGAATCACATTGCAAACATCAAAGGGCATTCATCTCCATGGAACTGGCTAAGGATCTCATCTCCTGAACTGCTACTTGGAATTTAGATGTTTTTGTAGCACTGTTGGCTGATCTATAACAATCATAGAAAATAAGCTCTGAGGATGCAGTTATTTGTTGCAACAAATATACCAAAAGTTCAACCAAAAATGAACCAAGCTTACTGAGGAGCTAAAGCAAATGTGGATTTAACCCACTTCTTCTTCTTGGCACAAAGCCCATTGAACCGGTTCCTTGTTTTCCATTCTATTATACTTTATTTTAAGCATTGAAGTTATAACTTGTGTTATGGTTAAGGAGCCAGATAAATACCGCAAGTGAATGGTCAAATGCTTGCACTGCTCCTTTTTTTTGAGGAATTGTTTCAGGAGTAGATTTGACAACTATCATTTATTTATTTGGAAAAAGTGGAAGAACAATATATATGGGAGCAAGTGAAGTTTAATGTTGTTATTTGGGATTCTACTGCCAAATCTGAGCGCTATGCAGCAGATCCAATCAAAGTTTATGTAAAGAATTTCCCGAGGATTCCTGAAGACGTATTGTCATACCAGTGTATTATACCTATGGGTATAAAAATTCTTGCTAGGGGAAGAACTTACCTTGTTTTGTTCTTGATGAGCTTCCAGAAATGTGTACACATTTTATTTCTCTTTGTTCTTATATATTTTTTCACTTATTACTAGAGCTGTGGTTATTATGCTGCCTGATGCTTTTTGAAGGATTTGCAGGAGATTACCTACATTAGGCCCTGAGGAGCTGTGGTCTGGCAGTGGCGTAACCCATTGAGTGTCACTGACAAAAGAGATATGTGCATTGAGAACTATATAAAGCCAGCTATACCAATGGTATGTATTTCTGTCCTGAAATGTTCTCAGGTGCCCTGGACCACTTTGTCATCCCTTTTTCATCCTCCCAATTTGATTGGTTCTTGGATATCAATAACAGCAGACATGCATGGAACCATTGCAATGTGTAAAGGTTTTGTGAGAATACTCCGACTGATTAAAGAAGAATCCTGACTGCACCTCACCCGTTAAACCCCATAAAATTAAAATACTGTAAAAATTGTAAAATCTTAGGAATCATGTATATCATAGTATTTACTAGATATACATGATGATCATCAAACTGTAGGTCCCAAAAAACTAATTTCCAGTGACTAACAGTCAACAATAGCTCTAGTAATACTGAACAGGCAAGCTCACTCTTTTCCAACTTCTGTGTATTGCACATTTCATAATGATTAGTGTTTAAAAAAAATTATGGTGGGTTCAGTCACAGTCGTAGTCACTCTTTAGGCAGAACAGATGCAGTGGCTTTACTTACTATATCAAGATTAAAACAGTCATGGCTATACTGCAAACATATGCCTTCAAACTTGCGCATTTCTACAAACTAATTATTACATCCACAAACTTATTTATGGGATTCTGGACAATAGTTATATTATTTCTTATAATCATGAGAAAAATCTGCATTAATGACACATCAAAATGATTTGCATCTATGGAAATAATTTTCAGTGAAACTATATCCAACTTTTATTCTTTTATATTGTTTACTTGAAAGGACAATCCAGACTAGAGTTGACATCATTTGTTTAATACAAAAAAGATGCAAAAATATTTCAACTGTAGTTTGTTTCTTTAGCACATATGTACCAGGTATTGCACTATTTTCATTGGGAACACACCGCGTATCTCATAAACAGCTCATGAGAACTTCTTTGCATATGTAAAAAAATGTTAGTCACTGCAAGTAGTTTCATACATGAAAATAAATGATTGGAGCTATCTACTAGCTTGTCACTGGGCTAATGATATTGTTGAACAGAAAAAAAGTTTGCAATGTATTTATTCAAACAGATATTGTTTTAATTTTATTATTAATGGGACACCCCATGCATATCTTACAATATATAGCTAATACTGTGTAATATAGGTGAAACAATTCCTCAAAGCTAAAGATACATACATATGATTTACTGCAAATCCTCAAGGTTCGTAGGACACCAGCAAATACTTCAGAAAATCATGATGTTCAGTTAATGTTTTAAAGGATTTATCTCACAAACTTATATAATAGTGATCTGTGGGCAATGCAGACATTCATGGGAGTTTAAGAAATATTGCAATTTTTAAAATAGTTTTTGAATACAAAATATTAAATAAAAAAATACACTATCATCACATACTCATTTTACTTATACTTAACTTTAAAGGGACACCTTAGGCACCCAGACCACTTCAGCTAATTGAAATGGTCTGGGTGCTGTGTCCCTTTTTCACTTAGTGCAGCAATGCAAAAAAAACATTGCAGTTCCAGAGAAATGCAATGTTTACATTGCAGCTCTAAGTTTACCCATTAGACCCCATATGCACATTAGACCCCGCTCGTCGCGGGACAGAGTAGAGGCGGAGCTTCGACCCTGTGCCGAAGGACATTGGCCCTGGGATAAAGTAAGTAAATAATGGGTTTTTAACTATTTATTTACCCAGTAGGAGGGGGCACGAGGGAAGGGGGAGGCAGAGGGATCGGTAGTGCCAGGAATACAGTTTTGTTTTCCTGGCACTACAGTATCCCTTTGAGGACAGGATACAGAAAGCATCAAGAGCGAGAAAAGCTAAATATTTCCCTACAACTGATATGGACCTCAATTCTCTGCGTGCCTTGCCTAACAAAATAAGTATCTCCCATCATTGACATGAAGGATTTCCACAGACAATGTTTGAACATGCATATGTAATAAATGAAGAGCTTTCCTTTACCCGAGATGAGCTCTAGAAAGAAAACTTGGTGGTGTTAGCGATAATCGGTATAAAGCATATCTTTCCGAGACTTCAAATCTTGGATGAAGAAAAATCATACATTTTTCTATAGGTCTGTGACATTAAAAGAGAGAATTTTAGGTGTAGGCAACTTTGGCCCTCCAGATGTTGCAAACTGGCTGTTAAAGCATTGTGGGAGATGGAGTCCAGAATATTTGGCGTGTTGTAGGTGGCCTACCACTGTTCTATGGTTCTATCTGTTGTCTGTTAAGTAAGAAGCAATGAGTCAGTAAGATTACATTTTTTGCTTCTGGACCAAACATTTAAACAACAACTATGAATTAAGATTAGTTTTTATGTCAGATGCAGAGGTGTCAGAGTTTGTAGGGATGTGCTTAGTAAAACCTGGCTTATTGCATAAATAACAAGCCAACTCTCTGAGAAACGATTACAGGGTTAGTGGAAAAACTGGACAGAGAGGTCCAGTTAGCATCTACATGGGGATCTTGAGTTTTTACCATTTATTAACATGTTCACATGCTGTGTGACTTGCTTTAACCGGACCAGTATCCTGTGGACCCAGTTCAGGTTAACACTCTAAGCACCATAACACTACAGCCCACAGTTTAAGGACTGTGATTAGTTGACATTCTCAGCCCTTTGAGTGGTCCTGCATTGTCCTGTTTAGCTCTGTAGAGTTAATGGAAGTCTCCTGCAGGCCTGCCTCTGCGGCCACACTAGCCGGCGGGTCTAGCTAAGTTGTTAAACTGTACAGGAAGTTTGACTACTTACCATAGGCTAGCACCATCACTACAGCAGGCTGTAGTGACTATAGTGCTTGGAGCATTTCTGCCAAGGAGATTCACATCACTGAAGATTTCAAAACCATGACTGCTATTTACAGTTAAAGATTCTTACACATTACCTTAAGCAATAGTCTATGTTCAATTGCAATATTTCCTCCTGTCTAAGTATAAGCACAAAATTCTTACACCAACCAGATATAAATGCAGGTTAAGGCTTTAAACTAGGCGTATGCTGCATGCAATATATTTCAAAAATCAGAATTTATTACACTAGACATATAAAATAATATTTTATGTATTTAAACATTTGAATGGAATGTTTGAAATAATACAAATAAAACAACTGTTACATTAAACTGGTTACTTACATTAATTCCCTCCTTATTAATTATCAGATCTGTTTCTAATTATACCAGAAAATGTTTACAAAGACCCATGAACATGTTATGATATAAAGAGTTAAATAGATAGTGCTCACATTCTTGTGCTGAATTTTGAACGAGAGGAACAAGGTCCAAGTTTAAATTCCATTTATTGTTCAAACATTAGATTCTGGGAAAAGAAATATTGATCTTAACTGAGCTGTAATATAGTGGATGATAGTATAATTTTGTTACAGTGAATTTTGCACATGTTATGATCATTTATTGAACTGTAAAATGTAAGTAATATTCTACAGAAATTATACAATATCATTGTTTATCATCAATTAATACATACATGTTCATAAATGTGACCCACTAAAATCAGTTACAATACTTCATCATCATCAAAGTCTTATCATTAAAGGGACTCAATAGTCACCAAAACAACTTTAGCTTATTGAAGCAGTTTGGGTATAAGATCATTTCCCTGCAGTGTCACTGTTCAATTCTCTGCCATTTATGCACCTTAGTCACACCTCCCTGCATGTGACTTGCACAGCCTTCCTAAACACTTACTGTAGAGAGTCAGCTAATGTTTATACTTCCTTCATTGCAAATTCTATTTAATTTAAAATGTATTATTCCCTGCACTGTTGATAGTTTGCTAGACCCGACAGACGCTTCTGTGTATGATTACAGCTCATTTTGGAGAGCAGGCAATACCAACTTTTAAAGTAAGTTACATCTAATTGAAAGTGAAACCATTTTTTTTTCATGCATGGTGTGTGACTCACAGCCAGGGAGATGTGACTAGAGCTGCATGGACAGAAACAACAGGGATTTAACTCCTAAATTGCAGAGTTTTGAGCAGTGAGACTGCAGGAACATGAACTGTACACTAAAACTGCTTCCTTAAGCTAAAGTTTTTTTTGGTGACTATAGTGTCCCTTTAATGTATCAGGATGGTAAAATATATTTACTATCAGTATTTCTAAGGAACACTGCCAGGGCATCTTATTTAAGAGTAGGATTTGTAAAACGCAAGGGTTTAGGATGTCTTACAGGGTTCTTCACTAAAGTGTGGAATTCCTGGATTTCAAAGTGGTCAATATATTCAAACTGAAAACACAGAAGATTGGCCTAGCATTCCTAAAAACGTATTTTAATACCCCCGACTATTTTTAGACTATAAAACAGTATAGGATTTTATACTTTCGGGCAGTAGAAAAATGATATAACGTTCAGGATTTTTAAATGTATTGACATACATAACTAGTTAATTTATATATATACACAACAGAGAAATACTATTGGTTACTTAGGACAGTGGAATCAATCTATCTGAAATTTAATACAGTTTGGCTTTTGCAAATGCTACGGAAACCATTATAATAATAAAAATAAATTCTGCTTAGCTTGTTAAAAAATAAATATATAAATTTAGACAATTTTTTTCTGGAAAATTCTATAAAAAACTGCTATATTTATTAATATTGAAAAAATATATTTTACAGTGACTATACAACAATCAGTCATCAACAGACATTTATACAGAGATGGTTGTGTTTAGATTTGAATGTCCTTATTATAAATCCGTTTATTTTCCTCAATATGCAGTTATGTTTTATGCAGGGTTTTCTCCATGGTAATATGGATTTCATGTCCAGGTAGTCCAAGAGAGACATTACTAAGATATTACAGCAAATAAAATAGAGAGCACCCTTTACTACTGTGGAGTATGTCATTCTTGTCTTGTATCTCAACAACACGTTCAGTGAACAAACGTAGAAGA